GTAAGCCCATCGTTCCCGATTTCTAACCAAGATGTAGTCGATTTGGGTACAATGTCCCCCGCTGTGAAACGTAATCAAGTTCGCATCTCTTTTATTAAATAAGGAGTTAGTGATCACCAAATCGTGAGCAGTAGCAAAATCAAGCAACGTACGCCCCTCATCATTCCTGTTACCATAACCGAAACCCCCATAAACACCGTCATACCCGTCGATTGCACTACCTATATGGCCATTGAAGTCTCCCCCTATGAAAACTCTTTGGTCCTCCGGAATGCTCCTAAGTACAAAATCTAACTGATCCCAGAAGCAACGTTTCTCCCCCTCCCCTAGGCCAACGTGTGGAGCGTACACTGAAAGGACATTCACCACTTCCGCTTCTATAATAGCCTTAATCATCATGATCCTATCCCGGTATCTACAAACTTCAACAACATTTTCCTTGAGACTAGAGGATACCAAGATACCCACCCCATTTCTAGCGTTATCTACTCCTGAATACCACAACTTGTACCCATTACACTCTCTGGCGCGAGCCCCTTTCCACCTAGTCTCCTGAATACATGCAAAATCTATTTTCCTATTACTAAGTACGTCGGTCAGCTCCAGCAGCCTAGCATTTAATGTGCCTACATTTAACGAACAAACTCTAAGTCTAGTCTCCTTGACACCACTCCGTTGAGCCCTCCCCCTATACGCCCTATGGGATCTAAAAGAATGACATGACCTCAAGTAATCATCTATAATCGAAGCTATGAGGGACTATGAAAAAGAAGATCCAAAGAAGAAACCTTTCTGAAAATCCTCAGACCCGAGAATGCAACACCCAAAAAGCAAAAACAGTTTATAAATATTTATAACAGATATACTCAATTTGAAATATAAATAATGATATAAGATACTAGAGGTATAGGACAATGAAAAAAAAAATGATCTAGTAACTCCTACTCAGAGCAATATAGCAAAATATAGATCCAGTAGTGCCTTAAAGGTGAAGAATGAAGATAAAAGGAAATCCCTTGATAACCATCAATTACCAGTAGTGTATTAGCATGAACTTCACTTGGATTATTCTAGAGTACAAGACAAATAATTAAACTACGCAGAGTCAAATATTATCCTCCGAAATTAAGCAGCAAAAGGCACGAAAATTTGAACCAAGTAACTACAGAACTGAAGATTAAAAATAACTAAATTGAGATCACAACTCGAGAGAAAGAACAATAAAACCCCAATAAAGAAAATAACGTGTAGACCTAAAAATAATTGAAAATAATTCAAAAAGGAAAGAAAAAACCCAAATTCAAATCCCAGAAACCAGATCTAATCCAATTCACCAAAACGAAAAATCAAATCATACTAGCACTTGAACAAAGAAATATGATTCATTCAACTCAAAAATAATCAGGGGAAAACTGGATCGAGTGAGGAAATTTGGTACCTTTCTCGAGGATTCCAATGGAGGGGATTTGGAAATAACTAGAAAAGGATGTTAAAATCAAGCTTACCAGCAAGAAAATCCAAGCTGAAACTGAAAATCCTGTGAGCAAAAGCAGATCCAAGCTGCCGAATCACTCACAAATTCTCAGATTTTTCTCTCTTCCTTCTCCTGTATCGCACGGCTTTCTTTAGGAACTGTAAATTTCCGTCACAAAAAAGTTACGTGGTGCACTAGGATCTAGGAATGTACAACTTCGTACAGTATATATAATTTAAAATGAGACAAATTCTTCAAAAAGTATAAAAAAGGATTATAATATTGGGACTAAATTGAAGTAAAAACACATTTAGATACCAAAATAGCATTAGGTTCAAAATATCATTTCAAAAGAAAAGAGAAAAGAGGAACAGAGCAATTTTGCCGTAGGCAACACACAGAGGAAAGCCAAAGAAGAATGCATGGTCGTTCTCGCAAAGCAATCAACCCGGAAGACGAAGCAACTTCTGCTGCGAAAGCCCAGAGCTTCGCGATCTCCAAACTCAATTCTTCTCTTATCACCGCGATAAAATGTACCCTTTTATTTTATTTTTAGGTTTTTTTTTTCTAATAATCTTCTTTAACATTTTCTCTGATTTGTTTTATATTAATTTTGTCTCCAAAGAGAACGTCTTGCCAGAGGAGTACGAGTTTATACACCAAGCTATATTTACCGACCCTGATGATCAAAGTGGATGGTTTTATCATCTCTGGCTTCTAGATCAGACTGTTACAACTGACTCTTCTCTCCTTGTTTCTTCTTGGCCTCCTCATGGTTCTGATGTTCTTTTACTGGGAAATGGGTGCCATAACAGTTCTAATTTTTCTCCATTCACAACTTTGCGCTCTGATTCAGGGTCATTTCCAATTGTTCTTTATTTTAATCAACATGTTGCGGGTGTAAGCTCATCTACTGTTGTTTTTGAATACGGGTTTAATAAAAGTGAAGATATTGTTTGGAAACCACTTTCACTGAGCCACTCACAGACCGCACAAGTTTGGGTTGCACATTTAAAATTTCCGAGTTCAGAGCTTCATTCTTCGGTTAAAGTTTGTGTTGGGCATTCTGAGGGAATCACTTCAAAAAGAGGGCCTCAATATAGCTGTCCTTCAGTATTTTCATTTAAAGTACATGCACAACCTACACAAAGAGATTCCCCTCAAGGTTCCGTTTCAGAAAGTATTTTATGGAGAGAAGATAATTTCAAGGTGTATGGAACACAATCTGAGGAAGCAAGCCCTACTTTCTCCTTTGATCAACTAAATATTAGGACTGATCATGAACCGACTGCATCAAATTGGCAGGCAGAGGCTTTAACCAAAGAGATCGACTGCTTCCGTGAATTATTATCATTGACGGACTGGTAAACCTATTTAATTTAATAAGTACCTTATTGAACTTCTTAGGAAGTAAACATTGTTAATACGACTCCTCATTTTTCTTTGTCCTGTTTTTTAGTAAAATCGGAAAGCTTACACTTTCAAGATTGTTGATGGCTCGTGATGCAATATCATATTCACATGCTAACAAACCGGTTCATTCCGAAGTCCTTGAATTGTATAGTGATTTGATGACGTTGGATTGATCACATTACCAAACTAATGTAGTTACTTCCAATAATTTTAAAATGAAAGTGTATCCTATCAAGTGAAACCCTAGAAATCTGAGCAGGCCTAAAATTTGAGAATGAGAGAAAAAGAAATATTCGTCAATTTAAATTCGTCGAGAAAAGATTGTTAGAACTTATAAAAGATCCGATCTCGACGTCTTTAAATAATCGAACATCCTACTTCTTTCTAAAAGGATTGGTAATTTTTAATTTAATTTGTTTTATTTTATTTTATCATCATTCATGCATTTGAATTAATAATGAATTTTAGAATGAAATAGTAATATTTCTTTATTTCGATTGGAGTAAGAACTAATTGCTTTAAGGAATGAGAGGTCTTTTCTTCTCGATAGAAAATAATTAAATATTTTCGTTTTTCGTCCTAAAATTCAAGGGTGTTATTTAAGGGATCTCAAATTGAATTAAACTCGAACTTGTAAATTCCATTGCAAAGACAATTAGTTAATCGACTAGATACCGATTTAAGGCGCTGTGGGGGTGCTAACCATTCCCCATGCATAATCGACTCATGAACTTAATTCTTTGGAATATAGACCTATAAACGTTGTTTTAATAAAATTAAAATTATTATTTTTATTAAAATGACAACAGTTTTGGGTGTCAATCACACCCTAATCAAATATCGGTGGAGACTCCTCGAACCGTTTATGTAATTTTAAAAAAGATACACCAAATTAATCGACACGAGACTTTAAACCACACTTAATTAAATTTATTAAAGAAAACGTTTCGACAACTACAAGGATGAACATAGTTTAGTTTTACTACAGCAGGTGGGTACATTATTTCTCTGTAATTTTGTCACCAAAAGCATCAGCATTTAAGTTTTTAGTTTCGGAGTATTATTATTTCTAAGGCCTTGTATAAGTAGCCAGATGTTCTATACAACTTTGATTATATTTGTTTTACCTGTAAGGTTATTTCATCTGGAAAAATAATCCCGAGGAACTGTTAAATATATGTATATTTGATTTGTAGTTTCTTGAGAAAAACTTCTCCAGATGGCTAAACTTAGGTATTAGAAAATTTCTGCTAATGTCGGTCCTTCCGTAGTTATGATAAGATGTATTTTCCCACTCTTGCTGTAACTTTTGGTATAAGTTTGTTAGATTTACATGGAGGCTAACAGCACGCCTTTTGTCTATCTATTCTGTAGGTGACTTCTAAGCGGGAGTCTTTGCTGAAACATTGCTATCAGTTTATGGAATCACTTTCATCAATTATTTACAGTCCTATCTGTCTCCGGTTGAATAATTTATCGCTATCACGAATAGGAGCTTTCGAGAAATTATTGTGGGTCCAAGTACTAGATCTCAGCCACAATGAACTTCATTCAATTGAAGGTATGGTATTGACAATAATGTTCAAAATATTGTTTGTCGAGTTGGATATTGTTCAATCATTTCCTTGATCTTCTCGTAACCATTGGTGTTTCTTATATATTCATGTCTTCACAGTCCCTTACCCTACTCTTCTTCATCCCCTTTTATGCTTAAAATTACAAAAGAAAAAACCCTTGAATTCGTATTTGTAAACTATGCTGAAGTCGTTAAGAGTATTGGATATATCATACAATCAGATCGGCAAACATTCTAATGACAGAACAAGTTACTTGTCCTCTTCTCCTTTGTCTCGTTCAATTGGAAACGAATTGAACAACGAAGAAACCGTGATCGGTGATGCTGCTCTAATTAACCAATGGGAGGCATTTTTCGTTTTTAAAGAGTTGAAGCAATTAGATATCATGGGGAATGCAATTGCTGATGAGAAATTTAAGTCGTTTCTGACCAAGGTTATGCCGTCGCTTAAGCAACTGGATGTTGAACTATTGCAAAAGTTTTCAATTTGATTTCTTGGTAAGTTCACATTATTGGAGACATCTTTTCTAACTTCGCTATATATACACACTTTTTTGGAAAATTGTTACAGAGCTCAATTTTTAATGGGATTAACCATCTTCCAACCGGGTTAAGATAGCACCTACGGTTGTGTAGGATCAAATAGGGCCACTCTCATGCGAGGGCCACTCTCATGCGTCCCATCTGTATCGACTGCAACGGCGACTTTAGCAACTTCCTTAGTGCTTCTACAATGTTAGCAAAAGATGGCCGTTGAGCAGGATCGCTGCAAATGTAGGCATCCGTAGTTAGAAAAATGCAACGTGGAAGAATAATATGAGATGCCCGTGAATCACTTCATAACACATATTAGAGCCTTTACTGACAAAAACCTCTTGTCGTCATATTTAGCACCCTTAGAACCTCTAGTGACGCAAGTCGCAACTATCCGTCACTATAGTGCACTTATATTGACAACAAAATATTATCTAGGTTTGTAGGGTTTAGATTATACGTTTGTCCAAATTTCACTAGTCGCAAACCCCAAATTAATCCCAAATTGACAGATTTCTTACCACTTCTCAGTTTTCATTTAAATGACACCATAAGTCATTGTACCATGAGTAAGTTTATAATTGGATCATTGTATTTCAAAAGATCATAATCAAATCAATCTATTTATTGATTGTAACAATCAGATTGTTACATGCTTAAATGAAAGTGACCTGATTGTTATAATCGATAAATATAGTGATATGATTACTCAGTTGCAAATTTACTCATAATACAGTGACGCGGTGTAATTTACCCTCTTTTTAGTTTTTTCTTTTCCCAAATGACTATGGTAACCTGTCAAGGAAACATCTAAAGCAAGGTGGCTGTACACCACCTACCCAAACACACCCACAAATAACCCCTTCCTGTCATTGTTTTTAAAGGGGAATGCTCGCTTGCAAAAGGTAGGTCTAGGCATTTACAGAATGTTTAAGCAAGTTGTCATATAAATGGAAGTGCAGTGAAGAAATAAAAGTACTCACTCAACCCAACAAGAATACATGAGAGAAGCCAACTTTGGGGAGATAGTAGGAGGAATGGCCAGCCTCCTGTTCTGGAAAGCTACAGCACCAACCACCTATAAAGAAAGGGGAGAATCAAGTTTACAGCAAGGAAATGCTCTTTCGTTGCATTTTATTTGCACAACTCTTTAAAAACAATAACAGTGACGTTTATGATTGTATAAGGCAAGAAAAGAAAACCCATAATGGAAAATGGAAACCCCACCTGGGCAGGACTGAGTCCACTCCATGGTTGTTGCATTGTCACAAGCTCCCACAGGATTACTCCGAAACTGTAAACATCGGATTTCTCATTGGAAGGCTCTCCACGAAGGACTTCCGGAGCCATCCATTCAGGCTGAAAATAAAACAAGACAATTTGCATGCTGATTGATGGAAATATCCAACTCTTAATAAAATCATAGTAAACTTGACAAGGAAAGGTTTATGATGGTCAATATGATTCTTAGTGTTCCAAAACAGATTCTTATGTCATGTTTTGACATAAACCAGATAGCATTTGGAAACAGTTGGTGAATAAAGTCATGTCAAATCAAATAATAAAGTTATTTGAAACAATTAGCTCTAGAACCAAGCTCAACGAACACCTATTGGTCTTGCAGACATTCTACTGCTCGTGTGTGCATCTGATTGTCTTTGTTAAAAGGCAGTTACGCGGTACTTACAGTTCCCGCAACAGGTTTTGATGATACAAAAGTGTCGGCTTTGAACCTGGACAATCCGAAATCACAGACCTACATAATGAAATCAGAAGATGAAGCTATGCGTTTAAAACAACAAAGACAGAATTCCTTGTGATGAAAAACCCTTTTATCATACTTTTACCGTCCAGTTCTTATCAACCAAGAGATTGGGTGATTTAAGGTCCCAGTGTACTATTGGAGGAGTGAGGCAATGAAGGTAGTTGATTCCCTTGGCCTGTTTTCAGTATGAAAACATAAATGTGTGCCGAAAGGAAGCAGAATTAGTAGATCAAATCAGTAAGTAAATAGTACGAACCACATCCAATGCCATGCGTAATCGCCTCCTCAGGTCGAGTGTTTCCCCTGCAGCAGGCCTGTGAATTATCCGGTATAAACTGCCCCTATTTGCCAAAAATCCAGGTCTTAGAGATGCATATTATTTCAGAAGAAAAAAAAGTTTAGTTCATTATCGAAGTGAAATTAGTTGATTTACCTTGGCAGATACTCTGTCACAATTGACAGATGAGGCCGCTTTAGAACAGCACCCATGAAAAGGACCACATTTGGATGTCGAACACGTTTCATTATAGCAACCTTAAGAAAATGCATCATAATATAAGCTATAGTTGTACCGGATGCCAATATATTCTCACTCAAAGATAGAAACGTAATAATTACATGACGACAATGTTTCATATGCTCCCTCAAAAAATGTACCACAAGGTAAGAGTTCTTCAAGCACAAGATATTTACAACCAGAGGTATGCTTTTGACCATAAATATATTTCCAACTCTTCATGTTTCTTGAAATCCTTGTATTTGGTACTCATGCCCTATGCATATTCGAACAAGGATGCATTGGGAAAGTGGAACCATTATCGAACATGGATACATTGGGAAAGTAAAACCAGCGAAAATAAACATGAAATTATAACACAATATGCAAAATAACATTTTTTATCCATTACAAACCTCTCTCAAAAACTCCTCCAACTGATTATCATGAAAATCTTCATCAGTGAAGACCTTGATTGCAACATCCTGCATTAGAACAGCAATTGCTATTGCTTAAGGCGATTAAACATTTTGTCAAAAGACAAAAATCTCAAAGATATAAGGTCTATCATGAAAGAAAATCAACACGTGAGCATGATATATAAACTAATCCTTCATGGTACCTTAAAATCATGTGTTACTCTATCAGTTGAAGACAATACTCTCAGTCTTTAATTTAACAAGATTTATGATCTTGAATGAACAAAGTCCTTTAGGTCAGGTTTAAATCTGAGTACTAGAAAGAAATTTACACACTTTATTAGACCTTAGAAAAATAAAAGAGATCAAATATTCAACAAGCTTAATTGGAAAATGATGGCAAATAATGCATAAGAGTACTGCAATTTACACCGAACTCATTAGTTAAAAAGAAAGATGAATATCAGAATCATCATGAAATTAGGACATAAATGATATTTAATTGCAATAAATAAATACTAACCGATCCATGCCACACAGCACGATGTACCGTTCCAAACGAGCCTGCAAAATGGGATTTGAAGCAGCAGTTAGTACCAGCTTCACCGAGGAGCCAAATGCTTAAATCAAAGATGAGGAAAATTATATTAATCAAGAAGAAGAAAAATTACCAGCACCAACATGTTCCTTAATATGCAATTCATCCCATGATATCTCAAGCCAATCCATTGCAAGAGAAGGTTCAAGATCTAGATAACTTGAGGTGGATACAGCAGAGAATCTTCCTTGATTATCAAGTTCAGCCCCTGACTCCTCCAAATCTGACTGACTAGGCAAGTTGATTTTTGATTGCTTCACACCATTTACCACTGAGCTTCCAGATACAACAATCTCTTTTCGAAGGGTTTGTTCTATGGCAACTTTTTCTCCATGGAGTCCAGAATGTTCATGTATTGTTGCTCCAGAAGCTGTTTCAGAAGGCATCAAAGATGATTCCTTTCCAAAACAGTCTTGATCAACTTGTTTCTTTTGACTTTCAAGCAAATCATTGTCCTTCAATTGTTGAACAACTGCAGGAGATTGATCACCACTGTGTAATTTGGTTTTGAAAAGTTTGGTTTATTTTGCTGAATTTGTGTCCAAACTTCACGTACCAGAATGTGGAGGATTCTCAGAAAGATAACTTGGATGCTTTGAATCTATAATCTGACCATATGATGCATTATCCAAGCAAGGTAGTTGGAATTCTTTTAGATGAGAAATTCGAAATGGTGAAGGCAATGATGAAAGAAATTCTCCATTGATAGAGGAATCTGGACCATGGATATTTCCAGGCTCCCCAACTAGATCAACAACATATTCCCTGTTTTAAAAATGTATTCGTCTCTGAGCAACAAAAGAAAAAGAAAAAAAAAGAGAAAAATTTGAAGACAGGACTGTGATGGTATCAAGTCTAAAAGATTTAGATTACTAAGAAAACATAAAACAAACTAGGTCAAAGAATAACTAATTTCTTAATGGAAGTTTTTTCGAGACAACATAAACTTATTCCTTATTTTCTTAACTCCCAACATTCTAAAAGTTAAGTATCTTACCTTGTTGACTGCCGGTCATCTTCAATTTTGACAAGGCATGAAGAACGGTGATCCGCTGCACAATAATTGCATCCTCGAGCAATCCTACATGGCAAACCTATATAGTCGGCTAATGTCTGCATATACAGTATATCACATTTGTTAAAGACTGCCAAAAGAAACATTTCTGCAACATCATTAAATATTACATCAACATTAGAAGGGTGATCAGGCCCTTAGTGAACAAATACATTTTACACATCAACATATACATAGAAAACTACAGTCAAAACACTCATCCTTCATCTGATATCCTGATCTAGCAGCATAAAGCCATAAATAAACAAATTTATGCTGCATAAATTCATCATATGGCACATGGTTTTAGAAGGCAAATCCATTAAAAAAGGTGAAACCATGTGACTAAGCAAGAAGGAAATTGGCCTGATTCTCATTGGAAAATCCCTTGAGAACTAAAAGGTTCACGAAACCTTGTCAATTCACCATAGCAGGCTACAAATACCTCATTGAATGATCATGGAATAGAGAATACTCATAATTGACTGCTATATAATTCTGGGAGTCACTGATGCTTTTAATTTTTAATTTAGTGGCAATACTGATGCTCCCTGTTAAGACATTCATATATGCTTTAAAAAATTATTGTACTTCAGGACATCATGGCCATTGCTACGGAAACTTATATAACAAAGCATTTAAAATAATATAGTAATAATCTTATCTAAATTGTATGTAACTGTTATATGCATAGCTTAGTAAATCATTCAAATTATAATTCATGTGATGCCTCCTGCGGCAAAGCGCTATAGAGAATAGGTTGAAGCCATTTTTATCAAGACCCGGGTTGGGTTTGTACACTAACTACACTGGATAAATGAAACTGTAGATATATATAAAAGCCCTTTCAAAAACCAAGGTTCTCAAAGAAAAATACCCAACCCTCTTTTCCAAACTTCCCAAAGGTAAACTGCGTGCCAACTGTTTAACATCCCAACACAGACTAAGCAACAATAGCTAATCTTCCATTTCAGCTCATTATACTAGCTCCGTTCAACCTACTACTTAAATTAAACTTTCTTTTGACAAAATTTATAAGGTGAACCTACAAAGAAGCCATTGCCAACACTAAAACAAGGAATACTTTTCAATTGTTATTCAAAGCCACATGACACTGGAAGCATAACCCAAGCGAGTATCCAACCACTGACTCAAAGTATACTAAGTACCTTTGCAAAACAATGGTTTGATTTTGAAGCAACAATGGTTTGATCAACAAAAAACGTTCTTTGTAATTTATAAAAATAAAAGTAGGGTTTGTATTTGATGCACTCAGTCTATACATAGTCAATGACCCTTATGTTGGGAAATAAACCAAGTACAAGTAATTTCTCTATAACCAGATTAGTGAGAATGCAAAATAAAAACGGAAAAATAATACTCGAAATTGATAACGAAGTTCAGCCAATTGTGCTTACGTCTCCGGACTGCTGCAGATCTTTTACTAAGAGAGAAAATTTACAGGTGTTTACAAAACACTCACTACTCACCAGAAAACTCTCTAGTATTAGGAGAAAGAAATGATTTTTGGGATGGTTTTGAAGCTAAATGAGCTAGGGTATTTATAGTTGCAACTTAAGGACTTAATCTTGTAAATACCCTAAAACCTAGGGATTAATTGTGATTATCCCATTATCATTTTTCAACAAACATCTACCAAACTTTGAAAAACTATTTTTCAAAGAAACATTTACCAAACTTTGAAAACCATTTTCAAAGAAACATTTACCAAACTTTGAAAACCATTTTTTCAAAGTTGGTTACCAAACTTGAAAACCATTTTAATACTTTCAACAATCTCCCACTTGAAGACTGATTTTAATCTATCTTCACACCTCGATCAATGCAACAGCTTTTCTAGTCTTGTTACTCTAGCATGCCAACTGAAGTTGAACACAACTTCAATTTGTCTGTAGTCACCGTCTTTGTCAACATATCTGCCGGATTTTGAGCTCCACTGATCTTTTCAAGTTTCAAAATCTCATCTTCCAGAAGAGACCGGATAAAATGATATCGCAATTGTATGTGCTTTGTCTTGGAATGAAAATACGGATTCTTTGCTAGATGTATAGCACTTTGACTGTCGCAATACAAGACATTGTTTTCTTGTTTCTTGCCTAACTCTTCCAAGAAACTTTGGAGCCAAACCATCTCCTTGCTAGCTTCCATAACAGCGACATATTCTGCTTCAGTTGTGAAGAGAGCAACTATCTTCTGTAGTTGAGAAACCCAACTTACTGCGGTTCCTCCTAGAGTATAGACATACCCTGTAGTGCTCCTTCTGATGTTAACATTTCCGGCTAAGTCAGCATCTACATAGCCTGTCAGTATCGTATCTCCACCTTTGAAACAAAGTGCTTTGTTTGTGGTACCCCGCAGATATCTGAGTATCCATTTGACTGCTTCCCAGTGTACCTTGCCCGGATTATTCATGTACCTGCTAACAGCTCCTACTGCTTGAGCAATATCTGGTCTGGTACAAACCATGACATACATCAGACTTCCAATCGCTGAGGCGTACGGCACCTTCACCATGTGTGCACGTTCTTCCTCCGTCTTTGGTGACTGTTCTTTGGAGAGTCTGAAATGAACACCTAAAGGTGTACTTACTGGTTTAGCATCTTGCATGTTGAACCTGGAGAGTACTTTGTTGATGTACTTAGCCTGTGATAATATCAAAGTCCCTGACTTTGTGTCTCTCTTGATCCTCATCCCAAGAATCTGCTTTGCAACACCCAGATCCTTCATAGCAAACTGCTTTGACAATTTTTGCTTCAAGTTTATAATCTCTTGCATGTCTGAGCCTGCAACGAGCATGTCATCAACGTACAACAATAAAATAATGAAGCTATTATCGAACCTCTTGATGTAGCAACAATGATCTGCTTGGCATCTGGTAAAACAACTGCTACTCATGAAACTATCGAACTTCTTGTACAACTGTCTAGGAGCTTGTTTTAAACCATACAAGCTCTTCTTCAACCTGCATATCAAGTTTTTCTTGTCTGCCTCTATGAAGCCTTCTGACTGCCTCATATAGATTTCTTCCTCCAAATCACCATGAAGGAAAGCTGTCTTTACATCTAACTGCTCAAGATGTAAATTCTCTGCAGCTACAATTTTCAACACCAATCTGATTGTAGACAGTTTCACGACTGGAGAGAAAATTTCATTGTAGTCAATACCTTCTTTTTGCTGAAAACCTTTGACAACCAATCTCGCTCTGTAGCGTTTGCTCCCATCGTGCTCTTCTTTGATCCTGTAAATCCACTTGTTGTGAAGCGCTTTCTTGCCTGGTGGTAATTCAGCTAATTCCCACGTCTGATTTGACAAAAGCGAGTCTATCTCATCTTTCATGGAAGACTCCCACTTGACTGAATCCTCCACTTGCATTGCTTCATCATAGCACTCTGGTTCACCATTGTCAGTCAGCAACAAGTAGTGCAAAGAAGGAGAATACCGTTGGGTTGGTTTAAGAATTCTGGAGGAGCGTCTTAGTTCCGGTGTGTCTGGTTCTTCTTGAACTGCTTCAGGACTGATCTGAACATCATTTCCAGAAATCTCTTCAAACTCAGTAAATTCCTTTGTTTCAACTTTGGTATTGGAGCTGCTTGATTCTACAGTTGACCTGTCTTTGTACATCACATTCTCATTGAAAATGACATCTCTGTTTCTAATGATCTTCCGATTTTCATAGTCCCAAAACCGGTAACCGAACTCATCACCGCCGTAACCAACAAAGGCACATTTGTTGGACTTAGCATCAAGTTTACTTCTTTCAGCAGAGTCTATGTGTACATAAGAAATACAACCAAACACTCTTAAGTGTGAAAGGTTTATTTCTTTCTTGCTCCAAACTTCCTCTGGTATTCTGCCATCCAAAGGAACTGAGGGCCCACGGTTGATCAGGTAAGTTGCAGTGTTAATAGCTTCAACCCATAGAAATTTGGGCAATCCGACATGTATCTTCATGCTTCTGACACGTTCATTCAGAGTTCTGTTCATGCGCTCTGCTACGCCATTCTGCTGCGGTGTCATGGGAACTGTTGTCTCCATCTTGATCCCATTGTTTGCGTAAAAATCTCTGAATCTCCTATTTATGTACTCTCCTCCATTGTCAAACCTCAACCGCTTGACTTTCATACCACTCTCATTTTCCACCATGGCCTTCCATTTTCTGAAGGTATCAAAGACTTCTGATTTTTTCTTCAGAAAATAAACCCATACCTTCCTTGTAAAATCATCGATGAAGGTGACATAATATAATGAGCCTGCAAGAGATGGAACTGGAGATGGTCCCCATACATCAGTATGAACTAACTCTAACTTTTCAACCTTGGGTGTCTTACCGATCTTTGCAAAGCTTACTTTTTTTTGTTTGCCAAAGATGCAATCCTCGCATAGTCCAACATCTACATTCTTTAGATCCGACAGCTTCCCCTTTGACAAAAGTGTCTTCATCCATTTCTCGCTCATATGGCCAAGCCTTTGGTGCCATAGGTTTGATTTTCCATCAGCATCTGCTACTGCAATGATATTCTCTAAATTTGAGGTTACATAGAGAGTACCAGTCTTCTTACCACGAGTAATGACGAGTGCTCCTTTGGTAATCTTCCATTCACAACCTGAAAAGGTTGTACTGTATCATTCTCCATCAAGCTGTCCTACAGAAATCAAATTTCTTTTGAGACCAGGAATATGTCTCACTCCTAAAAGCTTCCAGGTGGTTTGGTTTGGCAGCTTTAGTCGGATGTCTCCTTTTCCGACAATCTTCAAGGTTTCATCATCAGCAAGATGAACCTTCCCAAAATCACCACTGACATAGTTCTCCATGATTTCTTGGCATGGAGTGGAGTGGAGTGGAAAGATGCCCCTGAATCCAAAATCCATGATTCAATCGGACTGTTGACGCTTAAAATCATGGCATCACCTGTCTCCTCCGTCATGTTGGCAGATTCCTGTGCGCCGATATTTTTCTTCGGTGCTCGTCAATCTCTTTTTAAGTGGCCCTTCTTGCCGCAATTATAACAGGTAAAATCTTTATTTCCTGTTCTTGATTTTCCCCTTCTGGATTTCAATCTGCCACGATTTGAATTTCTTTCTGAAGTTCTCCCTCTGGACTCCGTGTGCAAGGCTGAGAAGGTTGATGCTTCACCCGATTCTCTCCGTCGAATTTCTTCGCTCAGTACTAGATCCCGAACATCGTCGAATTTTAATTTGTTGTTTCCCGAAGAACTGCTGACTGCTGTAACAGTAGCATTCCAACTGTCTGGTAAAGATGATAAGAGAATTAAAGCTCGAACTTCATCATCAAATTCAATTTCCACTGAACTCAACTGGGTTGTGATTGTGTTGAGTTCATTTAGGTGTTGTGCCAACGATGCCCCTTCCGTCATCCGCAAATTGAATAATCGCTTCATCAAATGAACTTTGTTTGAGGCCGATGGCTTCTCATACATACTGGAGAGAGCTGTCATAAGACCCGTCGTGGTCTTTTCTTTTGCTATGTTGAAAGCAACATTGCGGGATAACGTCAGTCGGATAACTCCGAGGACTTGTCTGTCGAGAAGAGCCCAGTCTTCATTCTTCATGCACTCTGGTTGTTTTCTTGAGAGGGGTTGATATAGATTTTTATGGTATAGAAAATCTTCAATTTGCATCTTTCAAAATCCAAAGTCCGCGCCATCGAACTTTTCAATTTTCACCTTCCCTTCGTCTGCAGCCATCGCTCCCACTCGAATCTGGCTTCGTTTGGATCGTTTCTGACAATTTTTGCGAACCGCCGTATATTAGAACACCTCCGTCGACAAACTCGTATCGCCGACCGAATTTCACTATTCACGAAATTCACTATTCACGTGAATAGTAACCCGAATAGTAACCTCACAAAAAATTGACAAAAATTCACAACCCAAAAGCTCTGATTACCAGTTTTTGGGAAATAAACCAAGTACAAGTAATTTTCCTATAACCAGATTAGTGAGAATGCAAAATAAAAGCGGAAAAATAATACTCGAAATTGATAACGGAGTTCAGCCAATTGTGCTTACGTCTTCGGACTGCTGCAGATCTTTTACTAAGAGAGAAAATTTACAGGTGTTTACAAAACACTCACTACTCACAAGAAATCTCTCTAGTATTGGGAGAAAGAAATTATTTTTGGAATGGTTTTGAAGCTAAATGAGCTAGGGTATTTATAGTTGAAACTTAAGGACTTAATCTTGTAAATACCCTAAAACCTAGGGATTAATTGTGATTATCCCATTATCATTTTTCAACAAACATCTACCAAACTTTGAAAAACTATTTTTCAAAGAAACATTTACCAAACTTTGAAAACTATTTTCAAAGAAACATTTACCAAACTTTGAAAACCATTTTTTTTAAAGTTGGTTACCAAACTTGAAAACCATTTTAATATTTTCAACACCTTACCATGACACGTCAAATAAACAATATTAAAATTCCTTGAAAATAAATATAATTATATCCTTCGTAAATCACAAAAGGAAATCCCTAAAGCACCTCCATTTTTATTTTGGTGTGTGTGTGTTTTAGTTAGTCATTGATGTGGAGTGAATTTGTGCCTTAGTAGAAGTACAAAAATAAAAAAGGCATTTCTTTTGATACCTTAAAGAGGATTGCACGATGCCTGCAGAGTCCCATGGAGAGGCTGCCAATGGGTAGCACAACACACTTCTGAAAATCCCTTAATCTCCTGCTTGCCACTTTCCAGCGTTTGTGAAGATCCCCATGCTCCACTTGAAAGGTTCCTCTGATTTTAGAACAGTTCAAGCACCAATGGAAATAGATAATAATCAGTGAAAAGAAATAAACCACTAGCAAAAACCAATATAACTTACCCCATATAGATTGCAACAAGCTTTCCAAGCTTTTCAACCAACAGAAGGGGATTGTCTGAACAACAATATAATTCCTGTGCTTTATCTTCAAGCTCTTTGAGGCGCGTATCCAGGCGTCTATCAACAAGAACAATCTCCATAGAGGCGTCGCTGGGTTCAATCTCTTTAAGAGACATCAAAGGTGGTAAGCGTCTTCCTTCTTCAAATTCATTACACATCACCCATAAATATGGATTCATCCCAAGAATGTTATAAAAACCGTCTGATATCTTATCACTATATGATAAACACCCGCTAACCTGCAAATTAAATATAAACCCATACATTAATGCAAAAATCATGAAATGATTCAAAACTTAAAGGAGATTTGAATGTGGAATGCCTAATTAGAAGATAATTAAAAAAAACTATATATTCAAGTGGAAATGATGAGAAAATACCCAAAGACGATAAGAAACAATTTCTGCATCGGCGACACCGGGTCCACAATACTCTTGTAACAGCAAGGGTTCAGCGAGGAGACTTGCTTGAGAAGTAAGCCTTCTAACCATCGTAAGTTGTAAATAATAGCTCTCCTTTGACTTGAGCGCTAAGTTATCTTTACTCTCCTCCTCTGCTTCCGGTCCCTTGACTTCCCTTGTCACGGGTACAGTCGCCGAGGATGACGATGGATCATCCTTAGTCCATGTACCTTTAAACTCACTGGATACATCGCCATCCAATGTTGAACCAGGAAACAAACTCCCTGCATAACTACTACCACTTGAGAACCTCTGGAGTGACACCCGACGATCAACGCTACGATCGTTGATCACGGCGTTGGTTTCTGGAGGAGGAGGAGGGGAAAGCGTCTGCGGCGGAGCTGGTTCCGGAGGTAATAACAACTGGCGGTCTTCATCGTGATCGGTAGTTGAAGAGAGACGTCGAGAGGAAGGTTTCACATGACGTGATCGGTCAACAGTAGCTTCTCTTCCGATGAACCAGTCGATGAAAGCAGCTATCTGTTGCTTTTTGGAGTAAAGATTTCCACCCGTGAAAAGATCCGTCTGAGGAGTGCTGTTGTCGTGTTTGTTGGACTCAACAACTGGCGACGTCGTGAACTCTTTTGGATCATCAATTCTCGAGATTAATTTGTTGAGGTCATTTTCACCAACAGCAGCATTGTTCGTTGGTGTTTGGTTGAGGGGCTTTTTCCCGTGATCATCCAACATTTGTTTGGAAGATACATCGAACCCAGGATCGGGAAATTGCCTCGGGAAGAAGTAAGTCGTTCGGTGAGGCATTTTCTCACGGGCTTCACCAGATCACTTATCTCTCTCTCTCTCTCCTTTTTCTTCCAACTGATCTGCGATCAGGAAGTATTTGCTCACACCGTACAAATTTTGCAGAATCAAAGAACCCGAAGATCACCACAAACGCAACCTCTATGAAAACAAGGATACATCAAAGATCAAACGAATGAAAAAGAAACATAAATTTTGTTTGGATTCGGAAGTGCAAGCGGAAAGAAGGAAAAAAAATTGGGTGAATGCAATACATGGAATAATAGGTGGGAAACTGAAAGAAGTATTAAAATATAGAGTGGGAGGGAGAATTGCGCACTATGGTCTCTGGCGTAGGATAGCGGCGAGTGAATTCAGTGTAGGGGGAGAAATGGGAGCTTATTGGACAGATTATATTATATTATATATAGTAGGGCTATGGGGAGCATGCAAGCTTTCTCAAATGACGAAAATATCCTTGAATATTGGTTTCAATTACGGGATTGAAAATAGCCACAGCTATAGATTTGATAAGTAAACTATTTATACTGAAATTTGTTATTTTGGGTATTTCAAATTTTGAGTAGATGTTGGCAATTTGTGGATATTTTTATCAGAATAAAGACGTTTATATTTTAATTTTCTGTTTTGGGATAGTGTTCACAGACTCATCTAGATTATTCCAAAGTTGTTTAAACTAATACAAATTGTTAATTCCGAAATCTTTTGACTTAAAACAGGATCAGATTGTCGCGGCAATTCTTGATAAGGATTAAATTAAAATGTAATACGATATATATATATATATATATATATATATATATATATATTAAAAACCTATATAATAATCATTAATCTGCAAAATGTATACGAACATGTAATAATTAAAACGATGATGTGAAAAACAACACAAAAGGGGGAATTATTTTACTAGTGTAAACTAGACATTTGAATTATTATTTGTTAAATAAAAATATTATATCTTATACTCTTTGCATTAACTATTATAATTTAAAAGTGATATTATACATATTAAAAGTATAATACTAATCATATTTAAATATTATATAGTTAATATTTTATTTTTTATATCGAGTTGAAAAAAAAATCTTCAGTATCAAAATGATATTTTTCTCACCAAACTATTGGGACTATAGGAATTTAAAATTTGATTTTACACTTTGTAAAATAGTGAATATTTTTAAGGACCACTAAAATAAATAAAAAAATCAAATACAATTAATATATTAATTTTATATTTCATAATATATTTTTGTATTTTATTATATGCAATCGTATTTTAAAAATTATATCAAATTTAATAAATTTAATAATACTTTTAGTCCAAAACATATATTTGTATACTGCGTTTAAATTTAACTTAATCAATATGTTGTTGATACATAATAACCAGTCAGCCTGTAAAACGATACTGAATGCTTCTCGATAGATCTAGCTTTCAACAAAAGTAATCAACTCTTATAGGATGTTTTTATTTTATTTAATGGATTCCATGTATATTATATAGTTTGCGTGGCTAACTCCCGAGCAAATCATGACTACATTTTATAACCAGTAACAATTTTAAAATCTAGTAAGTGACGCTCTTATTTTTCTTTAAAAGGTTATCGTTTGGCACCATGGAGTGTTGATACCGGCAAGTGTTTGTTTTTGGCTACACACTTGTGATGTACCGGAATGAAAGCCCAAGTGCATTTTCCTTGACTAAAACTTGTTCAAACCTGTTTTCTAACATCAGTTTCATGGATCTCTGTAAAAAAAAAATATGGTTTCTTGTTTCCTTTCAAAGATGTAGGGCCCTCTAATCGAATGTAATCATACATGATTCCTTGGAAAGGACTAGTGCTTTTCGGTTGAGTTAAAATATGATGTTATCGCCTTCGTGAAGTAGATTCCCCGGAATATCGACATTGTAAAGCAGGTAAAGTCCATGGATGCCGTGTCTGGCTATTGTGGCCGATTTGTCCACTTGAAAATAGAGGAGAGTTTGCATCCTCGTTGACCCTTACCTGAAGCTCAGCAGCATGTGCAGTAGCCAATGCTAACCGCAGTTTGTACCTTTTGGTTTCGTTCGTGGCACAGTCTAGTTTGAACTTGATCTGCCATGTAGTTCCTCGATACGTATCACCGTCATCCTTTCTGCAAATCGAAAGAAAGGTTGGTATATTTTCCGGTATTCGGAAATGTTGATCGAAAGAACCCGTATTTTAGTGGGGAATACCTTGTGACCAGAGCAAAAAACCAGTCTTTTGTATAGTCACTGACCCCAACTGTGTAAACCAAATCTCCATCAGGATATAAATCTGCATATCTTTCCCATAAGCCATACTGCCTAAATCTGCAAGTAATGATGAACCTATTTATGCTGCAAAGGAGGCCGAATGACCCGAACCTGACTGCGGCCTACATGAAGCTGTAAAATTGGAGGAAAAGAAGCTAACCTGTCGGGATGATTAAAATATAATTTGTTGATGAACATGGGACTCGGATCAGGAACATAAAATTCCGTGACAGTTCAGTCCGGGATTCCGATTTCCCACAATGTAGGACCGTCTCTCGGAGGCTCATATACTAGATCACCCATGTAAGTATCATACCCTGCAGCAGTATGTTACGAAATATATACTTCATGACAAGATCTTAGAAGGTTTTAATGGGAAAAAACAGATGCAAAACTTAAGTAAAAGACCTGCAGTTGGGGTGATGATAACATCATATCTGTAATCTCCGATGAAACCGGGGACCCAAGCATATAGATTATAGTCGCCGGTCCGAATATTGTTAATGCAGAAATAGCCATCTTCATCAGCTCTGGTCCACAATTGATAGCCCTGATATGTGATAATGCTGATCATGTGATATTCAGATTTAGACTAAACAGATTTCAGTATCCGACAATATTTGAATCAAAGTCGAAAGGAATTCGGATAACAAATGTCTCGAATTGCAGAAACTACCTTGACTTCACTTTGCTAAGATCCAACATCTCCAGGGAGTGCTAAGCCCACATAGGCAACATTGGCAGGTATGTTCTCATTGCAAACGTATCTGAAGATCAATTCAAACAAAAACCAAGTGTTTATCCGGTAGCAAACGGCGAATAAGAAAATGTATGTTCAATTGTTCATAGTCTAAATGATTCGTAAGTATATATCTTTGAATAAAACAGCCCAGATTAGGTGAATTGCCTATCTTTCACTAGTCTACCACTGACATTGCCTCTTTGATCAGAATGTGGAAAGTTTTCTGAAGCAGGAAAAGTATAAGGCCAGCTTTCAACTTCAATCCTCATCTAAATTCAAAGTAAATTTTATTCATTTTTCTTGTAGTATTCTTATCTGACACCCGTGATAATACATCTCGAAATACGGGTACAGAGTTGAAACGGATGTTCATATCCGACATTGATTCTGAGTTCGAGTAACATAGATTAAACCTTTAAGAAGAAAACTAGAGTGTATTTGAAGCGGAACCTGTTCTTTAGCATCTTCCCAGGGTGAAAGTGGGTCATCTTCAGGATCCGACAAAGAATTAAGGTAGATAGAAATGGGGCCAAAGACTTTCTTCCAAGGCTCATTAGTTCCAAATTTCAACAACAAATCTTCTCCTGAATGATGAACTGTGCATAACCTGATCAATTGGTCGTAAGATTGTAAATAAAGTAAGCATTATTGTCATTTTAGTGGCACAATTTCAATGGAAGATATTCTTATTTTTACAAACCGATATAAAGCAATAGCAAGCTTACAGCAAGGGTGGTCGGCCCGACTTGTGAGGTAAGGTTCTGCTTGAGAGGTCCGGCAGGTCGAAACTTGTCCCTCGGTGTTATTTGCCAAAACCCCACCGGCGAGTCATTGCAAATCCAGCCATGGACCCTGTTGTTCTCGCATGAGTATTGATACTTGTCATCAACCTAGACAAAGTCGGGGATCAAAAATTTGAAGTATTCATATCCCATACATATCTGTTCGACTCGTAAATTTGGAACAACCTCGTCTCTAAACTCAGGTTCCACTGGATCAATGAGCAGGACAGCTTCTGGATATGCCAGGGTTTGGCTTCTATAAGGTAAACGGTAATCAGGCGGGGGCATGTATCTTTGTCTGTTGTCTGCCATTGCCATGTAATGAAACCTGTGCATTTTAAACAGGTTTCAAACTTGATTCATAAAGGAAAACTGGTAATAGAACACATACATACGTATATATATGTATATGCATACTTGTCTTTTCTCAGCTTGAATGCAACCCTGAATCTGTCAAGGATGAAAGCAGGCCATTCCCTCAAGTGCTCGAAAATCGTATAGGTGTAGAATCCTGAGGAATTACTAAGCATTACAAACCTGAAAAACAAAACATACTCAATTTGCTACAATCTCCCCTGTAACGTAACATAGTTCAGAAACAGTATGCTCCGAGTCTGATGTGCTGGTACCTCTTGTCGATGTTCAACGGACTGATCCCATGATCGAGTAATGAAAACTCCACTTGACTCTCATTCTCCACTACAACCTCTAAACTTGTTGCCTCAATCCTCCATAACCACATAAGAAGATCTTTGTTACTCGGATCGTTGGTTTCCTTTGAAGCATCCGTGTCCAAATTTACCGTCAAATTTACCCTTTGTTCCTTTGCTTCCTGCTAGATTCCAGACAAGGTCCCAATACCCTCTATCAGCTTCAACGTTTTCAACAGCAAGCAAATTGTCAATGCCATTATATTGAATACCGGTGACAATGCCACCTGGATTTGATATTGTCACCTGCAGTGTACCTTTATCCATCACCACCTGCAAAATCACAAGCCGGAATCTAATTAAACTTAAAGATTGAACATTTAAACAAAGAGTTTGTCTTAAGAAAAATTCTGAAACAGAGGATTAAAACAAAGAGTATATACGTATTTATCTTGGACATATAACTGCACCCCCAGAGATGACATTTTCAAGCTCGGTGGGAATGTAAATCTGAAGAAGAAGATGGATAATGGGTGTGAAGACCCAAGATTGTTTAAATTATGGGTAGAAACGTAGTAAAAGAGTCTGTGAAACCCGTGACAATAAGTTAGGTTTTTGAAAGTTTAGGATGTTTTCAGGGAGAATGTAGACATGTGAATGAGTTAATATTATATTTCACCTCTCATTATCACCATTTATGTATGTCTTCCATTTATGTACTGAATCATTAACTTTCCTTTTAAGGTTTTCTTTTTCCCCCTCCTTTTACATCACTCTAATTTGGCTTTCCAA